TCTTGGTGCCGAAAGACCAGCATCACAAAGCTTTATCAATTTGTGTTAACTTTGTCGAGCTTCAGTCCCTTCCATACTCTAAACATGTCTCATTCTCTTACAGTAAGGGCAATTATGATATAATAAACTTAGAGATAGGTTCGACTAATTGGGACGAAATTCTTAGTAGTGGTAACGTTGATGATGCGGTCAATACTTTTTACAACATAATATATAATATTCGTGATAAATATATTACCCCGTCATTTAAACACAAAAGAAAATATCAACCATGGTTTAACCATGCACTTATAAAATTAATTAATGAAAAAAATAAGTATCGTAAGAAGTTTAAAGTGTACGGTAATTTAAGTGATAAAAATAAATTTATCTTATTAAGAGAAAGTGTAAAGAGAATTGAGAAGGATCTCTATGGCAAATACATTGGTAATGTTGAAGATAGCTTAAAAAGTCAATTTAAAATGTTTTGGTCCTATAACAGAAATAAAAAGAATAATATATAGAGCATTTGGCATATGAATTCGCAAAAACACATGAATGAGGTAATTTCGTTTAGTTATTTTGGAAAAAAATCGAATTGAAACATCTATGTCTCGCCAGTTATCAGAGGAAATTATAAAACACAACATGCGTGTTGATCACAACCGTAGAGTTTTTCAAAGATTAGTCGATATTGTTTGCCATTTAGCACAACAAGAACTTCCTTCCATATGACCTCTGGTCACGATGAGTCGAAAACTTCATTAAATAGAGGCAATTTTTGTTTTTGGTCTTCATTAAATAGAGGAACTTGTATCGCTTCTTTCGAAGTGCGATCTCTTGTTAGAAAAGCATATACAATATCAACAAAGCGACAAACGGCCGAGTTATTTATCTAGTACAATCCAAAATGACATTATTCATTCTGTAGCTGATGTAATAAAAACTCACATCGAGTACGAAGTAAAATTGTCAAAATTCGTTTCAATTATTATTGACGAAACTCCCGATATTAGTCACAGACAGCAATTGTGTCCGATTCTCCCATATTATTATGGAAACGATATTCATGACCGTTTTTTGGGGTATGTAGATGTGCATGAAAGTCGCACAGCAAACACACTTTGTAATATCATATTGGAATTATTAAACAAACATGACTGCACCACAAAACTAGTTGCGCAAAGCTATGACGGCGCAAGTGTCATATCCGGTGTCAGAAATGGTGTGCAACCAAAAGTTAAAGATATTTGTCCCCAAGCCTATATTTGGTGTAATGCACACATTTTGGCATTAATTTTATCTAAATCTTGTAAAAAGATTGGGGAAGTCAGCACTTTTTTTTTACAGCCCTTCAGGTTTTATTTAATTTTTTTAATAACAGCACAAAACTGTCGTCTTTTTATGATGCACATTGCAGCAAAAAAATTGCCTTATGCCCCCGCAACTCGTTGGACGTATACGTCACGAATTGTGAATACAGTATTCGAACAAAAAGATAATCTAATTAATTTGTTTACGGAACTGGGACGGCGATACGATCTTGGCCGCCGAGTATTTTGAAAACACATTGTGTTAATTTAATTTCAATTTTTTTCTTTCAATTTTCCAACGGGTATCGACTGCTTGTACAATATTCTACAAAAATCACAAGTTGATGTCGGTTATTGCAGTCATAAAATAAAGGAGTTTCAGACATGGTTACGTACTAAATTTCAGTCAAATTTTGATCACATTACAAAATACCTCTGCTCCTCGTTTGAGATGCAATGTGCGCTGTGCTCAGACAGAATATAAACGACTTTTTGTTGAAATAATTGATAACATATCTTCAGAAATTAATGGCCGATATTCTGAAACTTTCAAATTAAAATTTTTCCAATTGTTCAACAATAAACTATTCGAAAAATATCGTTCAGATTTTCCTTTAGAGGCATTAGATTCATTATTTGAAAATTACATAAACCATTTTGATAAATAAACATTGAAAAACCAATTGATTTCATTGTATTCCTCCCCTGAATTAAAATACCGCAATGTTTTCGAAGTCATTGCCTTTATAAACGAAAATAGTCTTGAAGAGGCCTTTCCCCGGCTTTTAAAGTTAGCTTATCTTGTCGTAACTATTCCAGCCACAAGTTCCTCCGCGGAACGTGCTTTCTCATCTCTGAATCGCATCCATACTTATTTGAGAAAAACACAAGGTCAAGAGCGTCTTTCAGACTTATCAATTATCGCGATTGAAAAACAGTTATTGGTACAATTAAAACGTTCAACATTTTACGCGGACGTAATTAAATCTTTCCTTAAGAAAGAGAGACGATTCGATTTAGAATAAAAATAATTTGTTTTTTAATTTTTGAACATTGTTTGTACTTTGTTCATGCTTTTCTTTTGTTCATGTATTGTATTGTAAGTAAACATCTTTTTTTTTTCGCTCAAGCAAACCCAAACGGCTTTTTTCAAAGCCACCGAAGGTTTGCTATTGCTGATATGTGGTACAATCTATCTAGCAGTAGTATGCCTTCGGTGTACTTTGTTAAACACGTTCTCGACACAACTGGTTATAAAACTGAAGAGTGGAGACAGATCAAGATTGATGTATTTTTAAAACTGCTAAAAAACAAAAGCATGTCTTGAGCTTGCCCCAGTTTGGAGCCCTAGCTTCGCCACTGTCCTAGACGTACATAAAGAGAGATTTTGGGAAACTCCCACAGGCATGAGATCCATGTGGGTTACCCTCCAGGCCAAACTTAATATTCATAAATTAAATATTTAACGAGTAATATTGACGCGAAAGCCTAAAACTAATATACATTTTTTTACCTACGTCATGTTAAGATTGTACGTTGATCACATACATACGGAATTCAGTTTCGATATTCTGTTTCGGAATTCCGATTCGGGATTCCGTACATACATCACACACATACTTTTTTTCCGTACGGAATAACAAGGCTCAGTTGAGCCATTGAGTACAGATATTTAGCCAGCGAATATGGACGATTTTGTGATTGCAATGTTGCTCTATCTAGCTAATAAAAAATATTACCGCCGTCACTGGGTGCATCCCCCTTAACACCCTATTATAAGATTACAAGATAGCCAATATTATGTAAAAACGCCAAATTACGAGCCTATCCAGAATTTTTTTAAAACTATCGGATTTCTATAATCTCTTTCAACAAATTATTTCATTTCTTACATCATTTCTTAATGATGAGCTAGAGGGAACAGTAACAGGGGTGGAAGAATCATGTTGGCGTAAAGTATATGGTGCTAAAGTCTTATTATAGAAATGACAAACTCAAGTCTCTTTCTGCCTCCAGGGTAGCGCCATTTAAAAATGAAGTGTAATATCTGAATGAAAATGTTAATGATAATGTTTGTTTTTGTACTATTAGCTATATTTTATATTAATTACATTAAAAATAAAAAAAAACAAACCACTGAGGCATTGTTATGTGTATTAATATAATACTCTAGAAACTGATAAACTTTTATTTAAAACTATCTTCTCAATTAAATGACATTGTGCGACAAACTGAAAAAAAAATGACAAAGAACTTCTGCAGTTCCTTTCAACTGAGCTGCTATATTTTTCTCCCACTAGTGTCCTATATAAGTCTTTGGAAAACTATGTATGTATGTAATATGAAATTAATACGCTTGCTTTCGATAACACACAAGTACACAACAAGTATTCTTCATGATGAAAAATATAATCCTTCATGTACTAGATTACCCATTCGCTTCGGTTGTGCGACCTACACTGGGCGCATTCTGTACAGTCTTATGAATACTTAAACTAATTAATTAATTTATTGTTAAGTCCACTAAGGTGTACAATTAAGGTTGCAATAAATGAAGACACGTGTCGTGTAAACTGAGATATATTTGAGACTAATTTTTAAACGTGGCGGACGCAGCCGCCACACCTATAACTATTGTACATATTACACATACATATAGCTGTTATACTTAAATAAGTATGAGCATGATGTAGGACACCGGACACGCGATCTAAAGAGCCAGTATATTATATATACCTATATTGTGTCCCTACACATTCCATACGGAATTTACGAATGTGTGTTGAGACTAGTACAAAATCTATGGAAGACTTACGTTCGGAGCGGCTTTTTTCCGTTCGGGATTCCGAACGCACAAGCGGTCATTCGGAATCTCGAATCAGAGAAATTCCGTACGTGTGTGGCATGTCATTGATTTTATATGGACTTATTACGTTCGGAATCCCGAAACGGAATTCTGTATGTATGTGGCGAGCCTAAAACTGTATTTTGTTTTTCGATATAAGGCCCGCCACATACATACGGAACTCCGTTTCGGGATTCCGAACGCAGCACGTCCATATAAAATCAATGACACGCAACACACGTACGATATTTTTCCGTACGGAATTTTGCAGACAAAACGGGATTCCGCATGTGTGCGGCCGTCTCATTCAGAATTCAGAAACTGAATTTTGTATGTATGTGGCGGGCCTAAAAACTAACTTAATAGCTCCTAGGAACTCCTCTAAACCATTATCAGGTAATTTCGGAATTCATTTGGCCCCAGAATTCCGATAATCTGCATACTTACATAAGTGATTTTCACATTACGATATTTATCTATATGCTGTTTAAAAATATGGATACTTTTTACTTGCCCCTCTCTATGACTAAGGGCGTAAAATTAGTCTAGTGTAATAACTTACGTCCAATTAGACACCCTTAATTCAGGGCCCTGATTCAGTGTAGTGTAATAGGGGTAAGTATAATAACTTCATACCCTACCACAGATATGGTGCTTATGCATTACGTATAATTACTAGTATGGAGTGTAGAGCATAGATTACTGCATATATACATGTAGATATACCTCTATACTCCATGATTACTAGGCTCTATGTACCTGGTTTTTAACCGACTTCAAAAATAGGAGGTACTCAATCTGCAAAATATTACAGCTAAAAACCCAAAAGGAAATAAGTAAAAGATTTAGTAATTCAATTTATTTTATTTACTTTCATTATCAATGCATGTTTCAATAAGTTTTTCTACAAGCTTAGTCCTTTGTTTAGCTATTTTTAAAGCCTCTTTTTCATCTTCTATTGATAATGTACTACCACCAAACTTCTGTGTTCCACAAAGAAATCCTTTATTCCAACAAACTATTAAATTAGCACCATTTCCCCCACACATATCCTCTTCATAAGCCGATGGATCAGTTAACAATATACTCCTAGAAAATAATAATTATAGAATATAGAATTATCCTTTTTTAAAATAATTGAACAAAATGAACATTGAAAGCTTAGCCTGTAATTTAAAAAATGTTTTATTACATACTTTTCAAAAAATGGAAAAATTGCAAAACTAGTTGCAACTGGTAGACCATTTACTTTTAAAGGTGATCTTTCTGTTATATCAACTTTAATATCTTCCGTTTCTGGATCATATGTGACATTCGGCAGAGTTACTGAAATATATTGAACAATAACCTTTATTGACTACCCATTAAAACAAAATTAAAAAATTAACCCAAAACTCAATATTATCAGGTAGAACTCGTCTGCCTGTGAGTCAATCTAGGTAAGTACCTCTATTTTTACAAGAAAGTTGCAATGAATTTAAAGAGCTGTTATGATTACAGACTGTGAGGCATTCCATCTTAGTCGTCGGATTTGATAACACATCTGTAACTTTCCTTATTTAAAGATGCAAGTGTTCATGGACTGCAGTAGCCGCTTACCATCAATCACATGGAAAGTTTGTTTGTTACATTAATTCTATAAGAAAAACAAAAACAACTTACATGTCTTCAGACTTGATATTAAGGCCATTACACAAGCATCTACCAGACCACCATCATTATCTATACAAACAATATCACAATATAAAACCCAAGCAAGTTTGTCATATACAATACAGAGGTCCTTTAAGTTGACACATTCTGAATTGATAACTATATCTGATACAGTGTTGCTTATGACCTGAGCATAATCAGATGGTGGACCTGGCCTAAATTTGGATGAACATAAAGGAAGCAACTCCACATTTGTGACTAAATAACCTGAATCCGGTTCTTCTGCCTTTGGTGTGGCTAACTCCTAAAATTAATATCTTTTTGTTAAAAAAATTTTTAAAAAATTAATAATTAATCGTTCAACATGTATTACCAATTTTATGCCACATATAACCGTTGTATTCCCGCATTTTACTACTCCACTGGCTTCTGAAGCTTTAATGGAATTAACATTCAATTTTATGTTTCGATGTTCATTAAATTTCCTTCCGTCCGGTCGAACATTTCGAGAAATATAATCATTAAAATATTTAACAGGATGTATCAGTCTGTAAATATCGAATTATGTTATTTAAAAATTATCATTATGCATCTCTAAAAAACATGTTGATAAAAAACAACAAACTTGTAAATTTCTGCCATCTTTCATAGAACAGTAGACTTGAGTTAAGTCGGTAGATATTGGTCATAAAAAAAAATATTAAAAAAACGCCATCATACAACCAAGCACAACAAGCACCATAGATAAATAAATATGTAGACAAGCACAGCATAGAACATAGATTACTGTACGCATAGAAGCACAGAGTGTCCACAGAGTACTTTTTTTATTGAGTGTCATAGGTGTCATAAGCAAGGGTACCAACATTAAAATCTAACTCCAGTTGTAGAGAATACTATAACCCCGTCAAATCCCGTCAAGTACGGTAGACAAGTGTCAATCATTCATTGTATTGCACATTTTTTCGTATTTTTAAACGAAACAAATGAATAAAATTATAATTTAACTTTTGCCATTTCCAAATTATTTTTATTTCGAAAACAAATCTACAAAAACATAAATTTTTGTTGTCCCGTTAAAAATCCGTTAGCCGTTAAACACAATTTTTTCCCGTCGCCAAACTCGCTGTCCCGTCAAATCTAACGGGAAACCCGTCAAGTTGGCATGAATAGTACATTCGTAGACAGAAAATGCTACGAGTACATGGCTTACACCACAGACTAACTAATAGATTATGGAGTATGGAGTGTACAGGTAAGGAGTACTGACTGTGTATTAAAAAGTGTCCGTAGAAAACCGTTAAATAAGGGTGGCACCACTAGCTACGGGGTAAATTTTAAAGAACGCACCGAAAAATATTAGTGGGATAGACTACTTTTTCGGGGTTATATTTACTAAATAAAATTATTTTAGATTTTAGAGCTATTGAGCAGTTTAGCAGCACACTTCAAGCCGTCGACGACTGCTAAGTTCATTTCATCCCAGTAGCTACTCCAGCGATGTTGTGAACAGTTTTTGAACTGTTATTTACCGCTTACAGATGGACACTTTTTCAACTATTCTACTATGGGAGTTGGTACTCCTTACTTCTATACTCCATACTACTTGAATTTAACTATGGATAGTGATAGATACGTAGACAGAGAAACCTATGGGCTAATTGACGTCTTCTTTCGCATTCGCACACGAAAAAGATAGATTTACGCATACATCTTTTCATTGAAATGAGACAGAGCAGTGTGATTGTTTGTCCCTTTCTCCGTGCCGGTTTTTTGTTTAGCAAACTACACTTTGCCAAACAACTTTGACAGTTCGTAGCGAACCAAGGAGTTTACAAGTTAGCTTAAGTGTTAAAAAAGTGTTTTGTGAGCTTAAGATTGGTGAATCTTGTTCAGTTCAGCTCTTAGAACAATTAAAATTTCATAAAGTCATAAAGATTATTTTATAACCTAAAACTACGTTATCGTCCTTTCTCAGTCGAGGCCACGCTAATCATTAGTCTATAGGGTTCTCTGTTGGTCTTCTGTGTGGGTTAATTGGTACCCTTGACAAGAAGCTGGCTGTTACAAAACATGTAAATACAATAGTACAAAAAAGTTTCAAAAGTAAAAGGGATTTTCTACGTACTTACAAAACTTTTTCGGGCTTATACTGCATCAAAAGTATTCATTACGCTTGTAAAATTTGTTCTCCCTATTATATTACGCATAAACAACAAATTCAAAGAATTCAGACAACGTTTATAAGGCATTTGAATTACAGCATTCACGCGTATATACTTTATTACACTCACTATATTATACGTTCTTAGAAAATACAATCTTAATCTTAGAAAATAGATGTAAGACATAATGATGTTACTACGTCCAAAATAAGTAAGTTTTCTCGTTTACTAAATTTTCGTTGTTTAGGATCTCTTGCAATCTATCACTTAAGGTTATGTTTATCTTTTAAGCCTCCACGATCTTTGCCGGAGAGATTTGATTTTCAGTAGACCGGACTAGACCGGACGAGTTAGACTGGACCTTCGCTTTAGTAAAACGTGGACCGTCACCAATAAGTGTCCATGTTCCTGGACCATCTCATTGTGGTGTCCATTTGATTTTAACAAAGATAAATCACGCTAACTCAGCCTTTAATAATTTAAACATTTTTCTGGGACCTAAAGCATATCCATGACTGGACCTTTGCTTTAGTAAATCTTGGACCATCACCAATAACTGTTCATGCTCCTGGACCATCTCATTGGGATGTCCATTCGATTTTAACAAAGATAAATCACGACGACTCAGCCTTTAATAATTTAAACCGTTTTCTGTGACCTAAAGCATGTCCATGACTGGACCTTTGCTTTAGTAAATCTTGGACCATCACCAATAAGTGTCCATGCTCATGGACCATCTCATTGGGGTGTCCATTTGATTTTAACAAAGATAAATCACGACGACTCAGTCTTTAATAATTTAAACCGTTTTCTGGGATCTAAAGCATGTCCATGACTGGACCTTTGCTTTAGTAAATCTTGGACCATCACCAATAAGTATCCATGCTCCTGGACCATCTCATTGGGGTGTCCATTTGATTTTAACAAAGATAAATCCCCAACTTTAGGCTCCGCATCTTTTAAAAGAGAATACATAAAACATAAAACTTTTCCAGTTTATATAAAAACCTTTGTAATTACTTACAGTATTTTTTTCCTCGTCGCCAATATACAATACGTTGCTTTATTTTGCACAATGTGCACGGTATCACTTATTACACAATGTCACTAACACACTTCACTTTTCACAGTACACATCTAACGGTTATACGTATTAACAGAGATGCTGTCTTCTCGCCGGTTACAATTCAACTGCCCGATGTTCCCAAAGCGGGGGGTATTTATACACTTGTTACGCAGCCCTAATCTAGACAATCTGCAGCGTTGCATCAGCTTACGACAACCACGAGGCACCGCGTCAGTATAACGTGTGTACTGTGTAATATTACCTGGTTCTGATATTTTACCGTGTGAATTCATTCTAGATTCAAACTTCGAATTAGAGTCACCTCTTTTAGTTGTAATAATTAATTGTAATAATTATTGTAAATTAAATATATTTTAAATAAAGATTGCTTTTTTTTGCAACCTCTGGCTGGAGCCCACATAATTGGCGCAGTCGGTAGGATCTTCTAAAGTAGAGTCAGTGAATCAAGAGTGACTAAGAAGATACAGAACCTACGGGAGCACCAGTCCAGAGGCGAATCCATGCATTGATTCCGCAATAAGAAGGAATGCTGTAAGTGCTTGAATCTTTCAATCCTTACCCTTCCTAGTTCCATAAATAAAATTTTACTCCATCCTAATTTTATATACATATTTTATTGCATTTTATTTCGTTTTAACTGTGTTAGTTTAAAGCTTCCAAAATTTTCCATCCAAGGGGAACACGGAACGTTAGGTTAGATAGTAGTAGGACTTCTAAACTTAGACGAAAATAGAGGTTTAGAAACCGACAGTATGGCTCAATCCAATGAGATTGATTTAATTTATAAGTCACTTAGAGTTCTGCCTGAATTTGACGGTAACCCTTACATCCTTACGCACTTTATTAATCTGTGCGACCAACTGGTAATAGCTCATGTAAAAAATGAGCCCGGATACGAATTAGTCAATTTATCTCTTATAAACGGAATTTTGAATAAAATAACCGGGTCCGCGGCTAGGCTAATAAATTCGAACGGAATACCCGAAACCTGGGCCGGCATCAAAAGCGCTCTTATAAATAACTTCGCCGACCATCGCGACGAAACTGCATTATACAGCGACTTATCATTACAAACCCAAGGGTCCAGTACCCCGCAAGAATTTTACGAGCGAGTCCAAAGCTTATTTAGTACAATAATGACGTATGTTACCCTACATGAAACGATCGGTACGACCATCGAAGCTAAACGCGCACTCTATAAAAAACTGACCTTACAAGCTTATTTACGCGGACTTAAAGACCCTCTAGGGTCTAGAATAAGATGTATGCGATCCGAAACTATGGAGAAAGTACTTGAATTCGTGCAAGAGGAGTTAAATACCCTCTATCTCCAACAACGAAATGAAGGCGGTCAAAATAGGAAAGAATGGACTCCACCTACTCCTAGCTCTAATTTACCGTTAAATAATTTTTCATTCCAAAACCTACCGCTTTTAACATGCCGTCACTATCTAGACCACAGGTTAATAACACACTGAACTCATTTGTTGGAGACCTAGTCCATCGCCCCAGACACATGCACCGCGTGGTCCCACGCGTACGCAACAGATGATGCGTGCTCCACCACCAAATTATAACCCACACAGTAATGTATTTAAGCTCCCTAACAGACCTCAGCAACCACCAGGTTTCAATTTAAATAATAACTTGCGTCCTTCTCCTATGAGCGGTGTCACCCCATTTGATTCAAAACCCTTACCACCGACAGGACATGACTGGCGACGATTTGGCAACCCACCGCCGAGCAATTACTTTAAAACTCGTGAGGTAAACTTTAACGAGACGGGTTTTGACTACGACTATAGCACCGACGCGTACTATGAATATGACTATCCTGACTATAATTATAATCAAGAGTACTATACTTACGAACCAGGATATGGTTTAATTATAACTACGAGCAGTCGTATAACCACGCGGAAACTCCCGTCGTAGAGGAAGTAGATTCTAGTTTTACTCCGGCTAATGATGAGGATTTTCAGAAGTGTCCCAAACCCGAAAAACCAAAATAGAAGTAAAGGGGGACGCCCATTTTCGGCCATGGAACGCCCAACAATGTGAATTTGTTAAAAAATTATATCTTTATTTATGGTTATTAATCGCGGTATTCATTTATCCTCAAACAATGGGAATATTTTTGCACAAATTAAAAGTACCGGAAACATAATAATAAAAATTAGGTAAATCATTATGTCATTAGTTTGTGAATAAAAAAAAGTGTTGCCAATCACAAAACACATTTAAAAAATCGATTCTCTTTTTCGATCGATTATTTACGGTGTCATCATTACAGTGCTAATATAATTTTTAAATAATTATGATGTTACGATAATTAAACAAGCGAATTACTAGCTGATTTCTAATGAATTCTTTAGAGAGTAACAAATGCT